TTCAAAAAGAATGATTTCATGTATTTTCATTGGATATTTTACAATAATTCACGAAGCTAACAAGGCTATTGATACAAGTCAAGTCAGATTACCTGAGTGAGAACTTGAAGGTGTTTTAAATCTCAGGTAAAATCTCACTTGCTATGCATGCTTTTTTCAAACTTCAGTCAGCCTTGTTGGCTTTGTGCTTAGTTATGATTTATTCAATGGAAATATATGGCATTATTCTCGAGATTTGACACATTTTCTTACATTGTTCTCGATAAAAGTGAATACACGGGTACTTCAGAAATGCATGTATAGCTAACTTTTTTCATTAATTTCATTATTCATTGAAATGTTTATGGCGTTGACATAACGTCCGGAAACGAAAGTAAAAACACTGGCTTCTGGTGATGGTATTTTTAAAGTACTGTGTTTGACCAGACCCTTGCATAACAAGTGATCAAGCGTCTGGTTGAACGAGACTAGCCAGCAGTTCTCTCGTTATGTTTTAAAGCTAGTGGTTGGTACAATTTACGAAATATTGGTGGAAAAACAGACGAAACTCAGTTCAGCATATTCCTGTCACAACCGACGTATAATAATAACCTACACAGAATGATTTTCCTCTTGGTCCGTTTCATCTATAAACTGATTATCAATTACTGTATAGCTCTTCGTCCTGAAGGGAAAGCTTGGACATGTCAGTTTGAATGACACTATATCATCGATCGAAATCACGGTCATGGGCAAAACGGGTATTCGGGAGATTTTTTTTTTTTAGATCCAGCACCGCTGTAAGTATAAAGCAATATTAGCAAAACAAGCATAGAAAGCTAGTAGTAAATTGAACAATTGTGACAGTGCCCGAGATACATTTCTGATAACTTACATAATTTTAATCGACCATTTTCAAACAATCCAATTAAAACATACAGGGATTACTTTAACTCCTGTGTTATCCTTACTCCTGGAACCTGGACAACTTTCTTATATAACATAAATTAAAAAATTCTTCCATCACCTGTTTTATATTTTCTTCTCCGGAAGTAGAGAATCCTGTTCTAAAGTTGCAAAACGGAAGGCTATCAGAAAATTATAATTGTTCGGAATTTAAAATCAGTTATTTTATGTATATAACACCTGCAACCCATCAGTATCGTTGCTATTTCCTTGCAATATACCTTATATGAAATATATCTCTTCTCTCACGTATAGCTGTCAGCAATAATTACTTACAGGTAATGAGCGGGTCGACATTAGATCGTATTGTGCCGTACTTGGAGTGACTGTGTCACCGCAAATAGTAATTAATACGACATGTGCGAGCAGGTCTTTGCAGGTGTTCGTAGGCTAGCTGAGGTCAAGTCGCTAAGTGCGCATTAATCACAAGTCAGCCTACAAATCGAACGGTTGTTGTAATATTGTATACGTCGCCGTCAGTGTCGTTATTTCTCGCCTGTGTTTATTTGTAAATGTTATCCATCTCCTGTCTCCCCTTTCTCCCTGGTCGCGACAGTGATCCCCCAACCTCCCGCTCCGAGATTGGATAGAGATTGGTGCAGAGAGGGCCAACTCAATCTTCCAAAAACAATAACACATTATTACTGAAGTGCTATCAAGACGCATCGATCACTGAACGTTTAATTTCCCAGTTAATAACAAAAGCAATAGCTCCAGGGAGGCACACACGTATAGAAACGCAATAAAGCATCTGCATGTGGAAAGTGACCACAGATGTGTTACCGCGTCCGAAGTGGTCGGACACTACCTCCGTGACACTGGCCAGCGTTTAAGGACGATGCGGTCGGGAACTAGAGCGATTTTGCGTCGTCATGAGCGTCACTCGCACTCATATCCTGCAGAGACGACGTTCTAGTGCATTTTCTAGTCAGACGGCTATACCGTCCCCACAGGAATTGCTCACAAGGCGTATGTCAGCCACCCCTGAACTTTACTCTCAACAACACCCAACGCCACGTGATTTGAACATGGGATCGTTAAGAAGGTGTTCACTTCCGGTTGTGCCGAAATACCGGTTTAGCCCTCTAGTGAGGATACACAGGCGGATTTCGAGGTGTGAACGTCCATCATGGGCGGTGTACCCCGTAAAATTTGACTCTACCATCAGGGGAGACCATCTACGAAGACTATTTGTACTCATCCTTATTGTCACGATCTTCGTCGTTTCGGCCGTCTGCTATTCTCTCTACAATGTTTTTGACAAGTTACCAGGCCTTCGGTCGTCTGTTTGATACGTATGCCTTATTATACATGTAATTTCCAATCTGTGACGTTCTGATTACAGGAATACAGTGCGTGGGTGTTGCGTCATTAGTTGTGGTGACTGTTGCACCTCAAATGACATCTTTACAGTGATGCAGTGAAATGGCGATCTTGTGTTCAAGTTAAAAATGTTTCAGAATAGAACCGACCTTGGTTTCCCTACGAGGATGCAGTGAGTACGGGTGATTGATTTGCATGTTCAAAAATACTGATTCGTCAGTATAAATGTACAATGTAGAAAGAACAATGTACATTTGTATTAACCATTTTTATGTTTGACGTCTGCAACGCCACGATTTCTCACCCCTAGAACGATTGATTTCTCGCGAGAATGAGAAAACCGTGCTTAAATTGATGTGTTCACTACACGATTTCTCCAACCTTGCACGCTTTCTCACATGGGAGAGAAATCTTATTAATTAGCAGTATAGGCATATTGTCCCTTGACACGTGATTGTTATTTAATTAATTTACTAATGTTTATGACGCATAATGTTAACCGATTTGATACGTTTCACTGTAACACAAGTAACAAATGAAGGCAATATTATGGACATGTACAGTTGTATGTCGATCACAAGGTTTAACATGAATAAACTTTGCGGTTTACTGTAAATATCGCTTAAATAGTAGTATTTTTATTACGTTTGCCGAAGGGAGATGGAATAAGAAAGAGAGTGGGGATAAAAATCGTTGCCGATTCTTTTGCACGACTTGAGAAAATGTACGAAAGTGAGAAATGGTGTTGCGAACGCAGCAATTTTAGCTCGAACAAGAAATAGTGTCGCAACTGTGACAAACTTGCTGTCTCGGGATTTTACCGGAGTGACAATACAAGCTCGGAATTCAAGGATATTAGTTTAATTAGTTTATAGCTTAGCATATCGGACAGTAGTTTTCGCAAGTAAACAGGATGTGTGACCCAGTGTGTCACTACTTCGACTTGAACGTCCAATACTATGTTTTCATTTTCTCTAAATGGATCGAAACACGAGAAATGGGATTTTGAAAGATGTGTTCAACATTTAAGTAGTATGTAACCTTACATAAATAAGGTTAAAACAATATATATGGCAGTGACATATCACTCCGGAAGTTACTATAACCGGATTTGACTGCGCATGTTCAAATGTTAGTTTGAAATGGTTCCCTGAAATAACAGCGCAAAATACATGAAGATATCTTGTGAACTTACTTGTCTATGTGTTTTCAACTTATATGATAATATCATTATCAATCCTGCATTCTTTTTTTGGATACATAAACGTAAAGAACATAAACCGTTTAATATCCCAATATCAACCAGCATTAATCATCCCGTTCCCGATCTGCTTTGAAATGGGCTGTATGATATAGACTCCGTAAGCCACACGGCGTGTACGTACAATGTCGGTGTAACACATCACACACTCGTGATTTATTGTAGATTACCGATCTGTATTTTCCGTATTGTAGTTTAATATCACAAAACTACAATAAAAGAATGAACATTCATTTTGACTTATGTCCCTTTGTCAGTAATTATCGCTCTGACTATACAAACGCTAGCTGGCAGTAAAACTCGCTCGTCTGAAAAAGATTAATTTGTAGATATTGACGAGAATTAATTACCGACACAGCTTCTCATCACTGCCATGTTTTTAATGTACTGTTTATAAACATACTACTGCTTGTGTATAAAGGGTTTTTTCGACTTTTTTCATGTCGCTCTCCATTGGGGACAAGATTTAAGGGACTTCGTCTATGATGGAAAGGTTTTAGGGAACATTGAACGTTTGGGAAGGTTTTTATCGCACATTAGGAAAAAAATTAAGGGAACATCGTCCATCAGGGAATATTTTTTTCGTCCGGTAGGGAGAATGCAAAAGAGGCATTGTCCATAAGGAAATATGATTAGCGACAGGATTGAAGGAACGTTATGAACATAAACTTCATTTATTTTGCAACAATTATTAATCAAGTTAAATTAACTAATACTAATCGCTCTTGTTGGCCCGGATGTATAAGCGCGCGGGGAAGGGTGTCTTAATGTTGGAGAAAACCAGAATACCCGGAGAAAATCCCATTTGTCGGGCAGTTGACCCCATACCTTTTCACGTCCGATCAGGGAATCGGACCACGGCCGCCTTGGTGAAAGGCAAGTGCGTTATCATCTGCGCACGACCTTAAATGACCTTAACTGTTTGACAGGACAAAATGAGACCAAACCGAACCCCTCGACCAACCAAGGAACTTTGTCCGAAAGAATAGTACAGTTTTAGTATTATGGACGAAGTGCTATTCAAAATATGATCAATCCTTCTTCGCTATAAATATAGTCATTATGGTACATTTTCTCTTCGATAGATACCCAAAGAAACCCTTTGATGGAGTTGTCATCCTTACACCTGTTCGCGTACATAGTCATCAACCCAACGTTAAGTTACTTTTGTCAGATTCCGGCTGATATCTGTTTACTAATGTAAATAGCTACATTTTTTTCATAATGATTAATAATTGTGTAGAAAAATTACTTTTAAAAGTCTTCCGAATACGTATGTAATTGAATTGCCATAATGCCGTTTTGATACATTTTCTTTACGGATGATTGGTTTTGTAATGTTCCTATCCAAGTCCGTACTATAGCATTTAACACAAGTATACTTCCCCCGAAGGTCTGGATCACCGATAAAAGTATTAATTTTGTGTAATGTTATTTGCTGAGACATGTATACTTTGGATTACTTTATTATACAGATGGATATTAGAATCGAGCTCATTCTTTAGTCGAACTAATATATACATCTGTACGCATGCCAGCTAAACAGGTGTCATAACGCACCTATTACAGGTATCGCAGGTACGTGGAATATTAAATCAGGGGAAATTGTAATTTCATTACGGTAACGTGACGATCATACTGATATATTAAATATTACTGAAAACGTTAATCCGGAAAATATCACTTGGCCAACGTCCTCAATCTTATTTAAATACAACGATAGTATAATGAGGAGCTGTGTTTTAATCAGATTGACATAGTCCGTCGACCTTAACATACATTTATAATCGACCCAATGAGCCCCACAGTCGACTTGGGGTGTTGTAAATGATTACGTAATACTACTAATCCCGACATTGTGTGTCAGTATACCCGATAATACGATCAGCTGTACATATTCTCTACACTGTATTGTTTATGAGAATAAAACAATTGTCATTGTCATTGTCATCATGTACGTATGTCCATCTCTTATTGACATGCGTGGATCTATACTCCCGTATGTCAGCACCAAACGCAACGGCACGACTACATGTATCACCTACGATCTTCGGTGTATTTAATTATTGAAGGAAACAGTAATTTAACCTCCATGCTCCAATTTGGACCATACCGGAATGTTGTGTATTTAGCCCTAAACTGGACTGTAAATGATCATTATGGTTTGGTCTTGAAATTATAAAGTTCTAGATGATCCACTCGATCTGGAAGGAGGGAAGTGAACGAGGTAAATATCCACGCTGTGTATCACGGGGGCTACACACATTGATGGATGTCAGGGGCTGAGGATTCGCTTTAAGGTACGTAATTCCACGAACCTAACCAGTAATTATATAAATTATGTCTTACACTTGTGATATAATAGTATAATGTTAGATAGTATTAGCCTTAACACAATTCTGTGAACAAAGTACATTTGAGTCGATCTAGTTAAAAATTATATTTCAATAAGATTGCACTTTTGATAAAATAAAAAATATGTAGAATATCCGTAACGTGTACACAAAGTGGCACGCTATCCAGTATTTGTACAACCCTTACAACAATGAACCACTCGACGTTATTTTAAATGTACGACCAGGCTTAGATCGTGTCAGAGCTGGTATGCCTGTGTGTAAGGTAATAGTATACGTGTATCTATACTTGTAAACTGTAAGTATACCACGTCCGTGTGTTATTGCTATATGTATTGGTTCCATACAAAGTTCTCTGTTGTCTATCGCAGAGCTCTAAAACAGTCTACAACATGCACGTATTGATGCATAGATTTTCATTATTTTGGTTTAGTTCCTGCGAGGAGGTGTGCAACCTGGTAGCGAACACCGTAAACAGGTAAGTTTCGAGGATAGGTGTCGTAAACGATAATAATTATATGTATGTCAACATTTGCTATTTCATTTGTAAGGGATTTCAGTGTTATACTAGCAGCTGTAAACATTAAATCCAAACCACAACAACTTAAAAAAAAAAAAAAAAATACATGGTCATATTTCAAGTTAAATTAAAATGTTATCATGGTTCTCATGTTTTTATGTTTACATCTGTACACAACACCTCGGCGTGGGGAGCGACTGGCTGTAATGATCCTGTAATAGGATTTAATGGTTCATTGACATAGTAGAACATAGGACAATATGCACGGGACTAAACAATGGTTACCCCACAAAACCCTTACACATACACCTACACCGGGATCTATCCAAATATTTAAATTAACCCTCAAGTGCAATGTATATACGCCCCTCCGTTCGTGGGTAATAAAACCGTTTGCACGTCTGTGTGACAATGGCGTAACCTTAACAGTTTTATCAGTTCAGTTCTTTATTTGCTGAAGTTTTACAACTTATGGCAATTACAGATAAGACAAAGACACTCACAAGAACACCCTCACACAAACTCGCACACATCATCACCATCATCGTCGAAGACACTCACACTAACTAACAAATCATCATCATCATCATCACTACCACCACCACCACCACCACCACCGTCACCATCACCACCATCACCACCACCGTCACCATCACCACCACAACCATCATCACCACCATCACCACCACCACAACCATCATCACCACCATCACCACCACAACCATCACCACCACAACCATCATCATCATCATCATCATCATCATCATCATCATCATCATCATCATCATCATCATCAGCATCATCATCATCATCATCATCATCATCATCATCATCATCATCATCATCATCATCTTCATCATCATCATCACCACCACCACCACCACCACCACCACCACCATCACCATCACCACCATCACCACCACAGTCACCATCACCACCACCACCATCACCACCACCGTCACCGTCACCATTACCATCACCACCACAACCATCATCACCACCATTATCATCGAAGACACTCACACTAACTCGTAAATCATCATCATCACCACCATCACCACCACCTCCACCATCACCACCACCACCATCACCACCACCAGCACTATCGCCACCACCTCCACCATCAACACCACCTCCACCATCACCACCATCACCATCACCACCACCACCAC